TTCATGGATTTCCCCACTCCCCCCCCCCCTTCCTTTTTTTTTTTTTTGAGAAAAGCTCATCTTGTTTCTCTGGAAAAAATACCGAACTGTTCACAAATTTGTGTGGCCCCCTTGTGGTGGAGTGGAGCCATGTTAATTTTCTCTATATTATTCAATTTTTAGTTTTTAAGTGTTGGCCAAAGATTATAAGAACCTTAGCAAGGATAGAACTTCTGTCACTTCTGATAGAACTGCTAACAAACATATATGCGAACAGGCAATGCTTTTTGAAAACCTCCATGACCTTTGTTACCCAGTTCTAAGTCAGAAATCTCCTCTGCAGTATCCTTGCTTCCTAGCGAAAGATTAATCTGACTTGGGTAAGATGAGTCCTGAATGGATTTCTTTCCCGCTGCAGAGGCTATCAAACAAATATAGCACTGTCAGGCTCTTGCAAACAGTTTTGGAATTTCCCCGGCCCCTTCCTTATCTATCAAACAGCATCCCTTTTTGGAGAAGACAGCAAGGTTTGAAAAATGTGACTGGTGTTTGGGGGAAGAAGTTAGGGAGCCGAACAATATTTTCGCATGAAGTTGTTTAATAAACAGCTAGCCAAAACAAGTGCATGAAAAGTAAGATGAAGGCCCAGCACAGACCTCAACATAAAGCAGGGGATGTCCGCTGACTGTGAAACAACTGACTAGGCCTGCTCTTGGATCTTTAGAATCAGCTGGATCTGCGGAAATCAGCAGGTGGAACTTTTCACAGAACTTATATTTTATTTGTTTGTTTATTTATTTATTAGATTTTTATCCCGCCCTCCCGCCAAAGCGGCTCAGGGCGGCTTACAACAATTAAAAACCAGTAAAGATTAATGCAGTACATCTAAAAATAATCAATAAAACAGGCAATATAACTTATTAACAATAAAATTACAATTAGAGCATTACAATTTGCACATGGCGGCCGTCCATATAAAGTCCTAGAGTGTTTGATCTGGGCTGTTAAACGCTTGGCGGAATAGCTCAGTCTTTACCGCTCTGCGGAATTGGTGGAGATCCCACAGAGCGCGGATTTCGTTCGGGAGCTGATTCCACCTTAACATTATAGAAATGTTAATACCTCCCAAGCCCACCCCTCCAAGCTTTTTAAAAAATCAAATAACGATATACATTGAAGTCCTATAATGCACATCACAAAAGAAACACTTAAATCAGGGGGCCCAACCTTTTCAAGCCTGCGGGCATATTTGGAATTCTGACACGGCATGGTGGGCACAGCAACAAAGTGGCTGCCGCAAGAGGGATGCTTAACTTCAGCAACGCAGTGGAGATTCTTGTGCTGTGGGGCAGCTAGGGTTCCCAAGTCCGTTTGTCTTCGCGGCAGGGGGCTCCCAGATGGCTTCCCGAGTAAACAGCATCTCCTGTTAAAAACTCTATGTTTTCCCCTCAGATGGCTGTGGCCCCACCCCCAGCGTGCCTGGCATCATCACATCACATCCGGCTGACATGCAGCCGGGGTGGGGTTCCCCCCAGGCCCGATTCCACAGCGGCGGAAATCGGGCCTCCAAAGCGGGGGATTATCCACCCCCCGGGGGGACTTGGCAGCCCTAGGGGCAGCTGCTGCTAAAAAAGCAAAAACAAAAAAACCTGCACAGCCAATCAAATCTCCAGTAGTCAATCAGAGGCCTTGCTGGCTCCACCTATGGGGTCGCGAAGAGTCGGACTCGACTGTGCGACTGAACAACAAAGGTGCCAGAAAAGGTGTTGGCAGGTGCTGTGGCACCCACAGGCAGCACGCTGGGGGCCCCTGACTTAAATATTCATACCACTTCCCTGTCATCAATACGGTTGCCAGCTCTGGGTTGCCATTTTGTGGCTGGAGCCTGGGGAGGGCGGGATCTGGGGAGGTGCGGAACCTCAGCAGGCTATAATGCCATAGAGTCCATCCTCCAAAGCACCCCCTTTTCTCTAGCGGAACTGATCTTGGTGGTCTGTAGATCAATTGTAATAGCAGGAGATCTCCAGGTACCACCTGGAGATTGGCAGCTCCAGTAATCAAGCTGTGTACGACAGATTCTGACTGTGTCCATAATTTTCTCAACAACTCATTTAAAAAATTTTCATACTTAACATCAGGGGCTGGATCCAAATTTGCCACTTAGACAGTGGTCATGGCACTTTCATCGGTGGAGAAGAGAGATCCCAGGTTCAGTCCCCAGCAGCATCTCCAGCTAAAAAGGATCAGGTGGGAGATGATGTGAAAGACCTCTGCCTTGGACCGTGAAGAGCCGCTGACAGTCCAAACAGACAATACTGATCTTGATGGACTGATGGTCTCATTCAGTCTAAGGCAGCTTTATGTGTGTTCAAAAAGAAAATGTAGCTGGTTCCTCTCTCTCCCTGCAGATCCTTATGGTGTTCTGGAGGGTCCCCCATGCCCTCCCGGAGCAGAATTTCGAGGGGGGAGGCTTAGTGGGCTGCAGCAAGAAGGTGGAGTTGGAGAAAATCCTGCTCTGCCACTTTTGCTTCCGGGCTGGTGCTTAGATCCACTCCTAGGTTTTTATTTTAAAACGCACTGTTACTTTTACCGTACTTAACTCACTTAGGAGCTGCGGTGGCTCAAGTGGTTAAGACGCTGAACTGCAGGCTGTGGAAGGTCGGTAGTTCAGCAGTTCGAGACCCAAGTGTGCCGCATGACGGAGTGAGCTCCCATCTCTAGTTCCAGCTCCTGCCAACCTAGCAGTTCGAAAGCAAGAAATTGCAAGTAGATAAATAGGTACCGCTTCGGTGGGAAGGTAACAGCGTTCCGTGCGCCTTGGTGTTTAGTCATGCCGGCCACATGACCACAGAAACGTCTTCGGACAGTGCTGGCTCTTCGGCTTGGAAACGAAGCTCTTCGGCTTGGAAACGGAGACGAATCCAACCCTAGAGTCGGATTCGACTGGCTTTCGAGCCGTTCTTATTTTTGTCTAGCTTTTTTACATTCCAGTGTGTTGCAGACGTGATTATTATTATTATTTGCTGCTGTTTGAGGTGCTTGTTTATATTTGTAGCAGGAATATTTTTTTAACAAAATTGGGAAGACATAACACAGGATCCAGTATTAACTTCAATTTTAAGATGTTAAAGTACAGAAGTGGTTTGGAAGCTGGCGTCTTTCTATCTTTTGCCCCCAGTCCCCTGCTGAAAAGTGTATGGAATTGCAGCCTGGGGCTATTTGGAAACGGCTGTATATTCCCCTCTTGAGAATGGGGGACATTAAATGAAAACAGAACTCGGAAAAGCCCTAAAACATTCTGCACATACTGGGAGTTTCATTTCAACCTGCTGCACTTAATAACGCAAGACAAATGTGCCTGGATATCATCTGGTAACCTTGAAGAGGTGTGGACTGATTTTTATAAAAAGGCGGTGGGAGCATAACAGAGAATTTTGAGCAAGGCTAGAGTTTTATTTTGTTTTTTTAAAAAAATCTGTCTGGAAAGACCTGCTTCTGTGAATCAGTTGCTGGATGGCGAGCAGGTAATGCCTTCCCTCCCCCAAGTGGTAGGTAACATGGCCCCTGTGTAAAGTTCTCTGTATACCCTGTTTCCCCGAAAATAAGCCCTACCCCAAAAATAAGCCCTAGCAGGATTTCTATGCATTTGTGGTATAAGCCCTAATGGGTCTTCTTGAGAAAAAATAAATATAAGACAGTGTCTTATTTTCGGGGAAACACGGTACTCAGAGTACATATTAAAAGCTGGGCAGCATCAGTCAAAAAGGGAATTGCATCCATCTGTTGAATACAGGAATGTGCAACCTGCATTGAGGGTTAAGGCACAGGCAAGATGCTGGTAGGTCAGTGTCTGGAGCCTCCCAAGCATTTTTTCCCCTCGAAAATTGTGACTTTTGTGATCTAAACCAGCAAAAAAGGTGTGTGTGTGTGGGGGGAGCAGTTGACCTCTCTGTTGTCTCCTCCCCCTGGGGTTGTCAGCCTCTAGGCTACAATTACTATTACAGTGGATCTCCCAGGGGACCGAGATAGGTTGTCCTGGAGAAAAATGGCTACTTTGGAAACATGGACTCAATGGCATTATACCTTGCTGAGATCCCCCCTCCCCAAACTCCCCCCTCCTAAGGCTCCACCCCCCAAATCTCCTAACTTAGAACTGGCAACCCTGCCTCCCCCACACCGTGGCCTCAGCTTGGATAGGGCCCCATCATGGGTGTAATGTATCCAGTCCAGACAAGTCCAGAGACAAACGTCGAGCTTCGCTCCAAGAGACAATGGACTATGCAGATCCTAGCCCGCTCCAATCTGGGGGCTAGGTTCCCGGCCAAGAACCTATGGGACTCTCGGCCACTGTAAATAACCTGTAGGGAATTGGGGGGTTGTTTTGGGTGGCGGTTTCTCGGGGGATATAAGCTGGCCTGCGAGCCGGCCAAAGTTGTCTTTTTCCGGATAGAATAAAGTACGCTTTGCTGAAATCACTCTCCGTTGTGTACTTTTCAATGGGGCTGCTTTTTGCCTTTTAAAATCCAGCCAAGGTTCTCATGCAGTCCCGTGTAGTTTGACCAGTCAAGAATTCAGTGTTCCCTCTAAGCTGAGTTAGTGTGAGCTAGCTCACAGTTTTTTGGCCTCCACCTCACACATTTTTGTCTTAGGAAGGAGGCCTCCATAGCAAACGAATTTGTGCAGTAGCCAAATCGCTCACTCACAACTTTAATGCCAGTAGCTCACAAAGTGGAATTTCTGCTCACAAGACTCCACAGCTTAGAGGGAACATTGGAAGATGCTGCCATATATTCCTGCTCCAGTTCCCCCTTCTGGGAAAAGTAACAATTACGGGTCTGTCTTGTGTTGCGTTTGTTAATGATTACTGACACAGCATTCATTTGAGTGTTCAGGGTGGTCCACACAGATTATTCAAGTACTAAGTGTTGCTAGCATTTTACAGTATTTTATATGTTTGGAGTTTGTTCATGTGTTTTAAAAAGTGCATACTGTGAAACTCAGCTATTCTGTCTCTCTTCTAGCTTGTTCCAGGAGTTGGCCGCAAGTACATCCTACAGTTTACTACGAAAGACCTCCTAACTGGGGTAAGCGTACAACATAAAAACAGATTTATCAAGTCTTTCCTAGACGGCTGAGCTCTGTCCCTCCATTTGGCTCTCTGGCCCCTGAGATTCCCTTTTCTCATCCATCTGCCAGAAGATCTGCCTGAAAAGTGTTTAGCACAGCAGTCCCCAGCATGGAGGCCAGGGGCCCCAGGGCACCTGCTGATGCCCACTTGCTTCCGAATCCTGAGTCTTGGTGATAAAATCCAAGGAGTCTTGAAGGGAACTGAAAAACAAAGCAGAGTGTTTCAAGTTATTTCCAGCCAGCCAAGTGACTAGCAAAGCACTGAGCTCATACCAGGCAAGGGCATCGCAGCTAGTGTTGCCAGGCAACCAGCAGGAGACTGGGCAACGGGGACATGGGGGTAGTGTCACTTCTGGGGGGCAACCAGATGTGACATCACACCTCTCTAGGAATCACTAGAAACTCTGTGATAAAACCGTAGGGTTCTAGTGATTCCTAGAGAGGACTGATGTCACTTCCAGGTTTCCCTGGGAAGTGATGTCAGGCTGATGGCTCGACAGCCTTAAAAAAAAAAAAAATCTCCTCACACTCCTGAGACTGGCTGTGGGAAACTGTGTTTACTCCTTCAGCTCAGACGTCTCTGTCTGTGGCAGGGCAGGGAGCAAACCCATTCCTTTGGCAGTGGAAAACAAAGCTAAGAATCATAGAATCATAGAACCACAGAGGTGGAAGGGGCCATATAGGCCATCTAGTCCAACCTGCTGCTCAATGCAGGATTTCCTCCATCTCAGTAAAGCAGCTCCGGAGGCATTTCCTCGGCATCTGCAGGAGCAGCACTTCAGAAGCAGCTGCCTGCACTGTGGGAGGGTGCTTGGCTGCAAACTTCTCAACGTTTTGTGATTAGCCCCCCCCCCCTTTGCAGCCATTTTTGTGGTAGCACCCAAGACCCTCTTCTCAAAATTACCAGAGCACATGCAGACTCAGAAAGGTTGGGGACCCTGTGAGGGGCTCTTGATTATACACATAGGGAAGCTGACCTTCATCTCCCCCCCCCCCGCTGCCCATGCACACTGGGCTACCTGGTAACAAGCAACAGGGGTCCTGCTGACCATCATAACAGTAGGGACGTTCTGATTAAGCCTCAGGTCACAATAAAAGGATACTTTTGTCAATTATGCTGGCGGGTAATATAATCAAAAGCTGACTAGGATGGTTGCCAAATTTGGTTGGTTGGCATACCGAACCAGGAAGGAGATAAAGAAGTACAGATAGGCCTAGATTTGTTTTTAATCTTTGATCTCAATAGTAATTTTTACCATTTCTGTATTTTAAACTTTTTAGATTCCTATTTATAATTTTAGATGCTATTATATTTTATAATTTTACTGTTCTTTTACCTGTTATTTACTTGCCTCTTACTGTATTGTTTGCTGGTCTATGACCGTAATAAATTGAATTGAGTTCGCTTGGGTCCTGCTTACTCAACTGTGGGCAAGATTGCAGGACGTATCCCCCCACCCCCACCCCGGGTGGAGCGTGCTGTGCTCCTTAGACCCTCCTTAGAGATCTTCATGAAGGGCTGCCAGGTTTTCCTGCTTGCTTGTTTGCTTCCAGGGGTTTTGATGGGTTATGAACAGCAGGCATCTTTTGGGGAGGGAGGGAGGTACTTGGGGTTTGTTATGCAATTTGCTTTTAACACGTGATGCTTTACTTTGTAACCCGCCTTGAGCCCAGAGGAAAGACAGAGAGGAAATATTGAACCAAATATAAAGTTTCGGTCTGAAGAAGTGCAATTTGTCTTTTCAGGAAAACCTAGGCACCTGCCACTCCTCTGTGTTCTACCTGAAGGCAAAGCCAAAGCCAGCGGTTGAAATTAGCTGCTCGCCGGACCAAGGCAAAAATGACCACCAGATTCAAGACCTTTTCTTGTACTTGAGCCTTACAGGTATATTTGTGGCATCTCACATGTTGGGCCCAAGGAACTCTGAAGGGAAGGAAAACAGCCATGAGCCGGGAGCGGCTCAACCCTTTCTGCCACCACCTCAAGTGCCCCCCCCCCAATGCTGCCCCTGTCGACTTCGGTGGGGAAGGTGCCAGCAAGAGCAAGCCAAAGGAGGGGCTGTGGCTCAGGGCTGGAGCATCTTCTTAGCATGCAGCAGGTCTCAGGTTCCATCCCCAACATCTCTTGTTAAAAGGATCAGGAAGCAGGTGACGGGAAAGACCTCCGCATGAGACTTTAGCTGCTGCATATAGACAGTGCTGACCTGGGCAGCCAATAGGCTCCCTGCCCACCTAGTTCTTCTCCATCAAAGCTGAACCATGTGCTGAGCCAGTTTTTCCAAAGCTCGCCCAAGCAGTGGTGGGTGGCACTATCAGATGGCTTCTGCCATTCTTAACGTGTTAGCATACTGATAAATCCCCCCCCCCTTTTAAGAACACCTCTTTCATAAGAACACAAGAAGTGGCCTGCTGCGGGTCGGACCCGGAGTTGCATTAGCGCACCATCCTTTTTCACACAATGGAAACTAAACTAAACAAGCTAAGCCCTTTCCCCTGATGTTGCCTCCTAGCAGAGATACTCAGATGCTTACTTGTTTCTGGCCATGGAGGTTCACTGTAGTTGTCATGGCTAGTAGCCATTGATGAACCTTCCCAGAATCTGCTATTTAGGCTGGTGGCCGTGGCTCTGTCCATTGGCATCCAATCCCACAATTCCATTGCCCCTTGTGTGAAGGAGTACGTCTGGTCTTCAAGGACATGGTTCAGCCTTGACGGCCTTGAGCATGTCCAATGGGAGTTTTTTTACACTAGTGCTAGTTCCTGCTTTCTGTCACAGCTTCAGTGCCTCTGTTTTCTGAACGGCCGCCTTTCCCCATTCCTTGCAGAAGATAAACAGCCCTCTCTGAAGGTCCTGAGGAATTTGGGTGTTTATGGCAGCAGCCTAGTGGCGTGGGAGATGTCGACTGAGGACTTGGCTTACACTTTGACACAAGTCAAGGACGTGAAGCCGTGGGTGAGTGCAACTGAAATTGTGTAAGCAGAGGTCTCCTTGATTCTGGCCCTGTGTGCATGTTGTGTTAGGAAAGACCTTCCGAGTGAGGCCTCCTCACCGTGTTCTGGACAGAGCCTGGGAAGCTGCCCTGTAGAGAAATTCTTGTACATGTAGAGCGAAGAGAATGTGAATTAGCTGGTGCGGCCAAATCCAGTGCCGCCTGTGGGGAAAGCACGGAGTAACTATGCCCCTCTGTCTTCATGATCAAGCCCTGAGGAAATATACCAGGGTTGAAAATGTACATAAGTGGTGTAAGCAGACGTTGAAAAGCCAGAGAGCAAAAAATGGTCCCCCTTCTGCTACAATGACAGTAGCCATACAAGAAAGCCAGCTTGAGGATGTGAAGACATTTAGTTCAAGCGTATGCTAGGGCTCACAGGGAGGGATACATTAGTAATCTTTAGTGTGGTTGCTACACCTGGTTACAACCAGAATCTTGCAGGAGGCTTTCAGACAAACACTGCCCTACACCACTTGAAGCCAGTAGGAACGGACCAGTGTGTGGGTAGCAAATGGTTAGTGGGTGGCTGTGAGGTTGCAGTTGTGATTTTATTTTTAAAAGGCATCAAATTAAAAAAATGGCACATGAAAGCAGAAATAAAATAACTTACAAAACTTTCTAAATGCCCCCCAAAGCAATAGGTGTTCAGAGGAGGCCTCCATCTTAGACTTTAAGCCCAGGCTGAATGGCCCTCCAAACCCCCATTAGCCCTGCTTAAGGATGCCAACCTCCAGGTGGGGTCTGGGGATCTCCCAGAATCACAGCTCATCTCCAGACTACAAAGGGTGGACTCTGTGGCATTGTATAATGTCCCCGTCCTCCCTAGGATCTACCCCAAAATCGCCAGGAATTTCCCAACCTTGAGCTGGCAACTCTACGCCCTGTCCCCTGCCGGTGGCCGGGGGGGGACCTAGCAGCTCCAGCCCTCCTGTACTCTATCACGGTAAAAGCAAGCCGCTCACGAGTGCACACGGAAACAGTGCTGAAGAAGACCCCAAAGAATCCTTGTCTGTGGTTCTGGTGGGAGAAAAAACCAATGTGGTGTAGCGGTCAGAGTGCTGGACTTGGATCTGGGGGGCCCCGGGCTCGAATTGTGGGTGTCCCTGGGCCAGTCACATTATCTCAGCCTCACTTATCTCAGAGGGTGGTTGGGAGGATAAAGTGGAGGGTGGGAGAATGATGTCAGGTGTTTTGGGTTCCCGCTTGAGAGGACGGTGGGTCAAGAAAGGACGTCTACACGGACGACAACAGATGGGGAACATCCCCAATCCTTCATGGCAGCCCTTGGCCCCAAAAGGCCCGTTGCATGGAAATAGCATGACAATTCTGGGAAGGTGTAACATGCAATACATTACTGGTCCAATAATGTGAACCCAATGCACTTGACCTGATTCTCACTATGGGATGAATATGGACTTCAGCACCACTATCTTAGAATACAATCTTGACTTTCATTGACCATCTTCATTCTGTTTTCTTCCCCAGAGAAGAGGTGACGGTGCGCCTGAATTTGACTTCACTGTTCTGCTTGGTGATAGGTGGGGAGAGGTAAGAGAACCTCCATTGCCTAAGGTGGCGCTCCTACTAAATAAGAAAAAAAAAAAGGAAAAAAAAGAAGTCCCAATAACCGTGCTCCTAAAAGTCCTTTGGAAGTGAGCATGGTGAGGAAATGCACATCGGGAAGCTCCAGGATCCAGTACCTCTGCGGAAGGTACATGTTGCATGGGATGCGATACAGGGAGAGGCCTTGGAGGGAGGAATCGACGGAAATCCCACCCACTCGCCCAGGTTGAGCAGAAGGAACTCTTCCCCTAGTGAAGATAGATTCAGGTGGGTAGCCATGAGGGTCTGAACAGAACAAAGTTTGAGTCCAGGGGCACCGTTAAGACCAGCAAAGTTTAATTCTGGGCATAAGATTTCTTATGCAAGCACTCTTCATCAGACACCAACTTCCACATCAGATATCTGATGAAGTGTGCGTGCACACAAGAGCTTATACCCGGAATTAAACTTTGTTGGTCTTCACGGTGCCCCTGGACCTCAAACTTTGTTCTCTCCCCCCAGTGGAAGACTCACAGTGCATTCCGAAGGAGAGTTGTACCAGTCTAGGTGCATCGGCTTCCTCTCTGCTTAGAAGTCAACTGTTGGTGTCTAGTGCAGTAATACCAAGCTGTGTTACAGGGTTGCCATTAGGCGTCCCTGAGAAAATGGATGGAAGTACTAGTAAGAACGACGGGAACGCTGACTTAACACTTCCTGTACTTCCTTCCCCAGTCTTCCATCTCCTGCCACGTGCGCGTTGCTTGGCAACCTGACCTGCCTGTGCAAGTGAAATACTACTGTTCTCCAGAGGATGGGTCTTCAGAATCTGCGGATGGCTCTGGAGAGGAACTTGGATCTACTGATGAGTTTTTTCTTGAAGCAGAAAGTAATTTTTAAATAGGAAGGAAGCTGTGTTATAAAGGTGTAAACATTTTTACAAGGGTGTGGAGCACCTGGCATTTAATACTTCCACTCTGCGTCATGATTATTCTTCCACGTAAATCACTGCTGCGGATTGGAAGTTTGTGCACAAGTCACTTCTGACCCACTGTAGAAATTCTTAAAAGAAAAAAAAATCCTCTGCGTCTTCCTAAAAGCACTTTTTCGCAGATTAAAATAATATATATATGGAAAAAATTACTGGACTTGCCACCAAGTTTCTGGCATTAGGGAATTACGCTGTATGAAGTTAATATATATGAACCACATTCTTGGAGTTTTTAAAACTACCATTTCAAGAAAAGTATTGTGGAATTAAAAATATATATATGATAATAAGCCTTTGATGCTAACTTTTAATTTATCTCCAATAAAATGAATAAAGTCATGTCTTGTGGACATTGCATTATTGCATATTGGCTGGATCGCATCAGAATTCTTTTATTGTGCTCCAGGCAGGGGTCATTTCGTAGAAAAAGAGGTGCAGGAGCTCATTAGCGTAACTTATTTGCATATGTCACACCCCCTGACATCACCAGAAGTGTGTCAGAAGGCAACACCCACTGCTCAGGCTCCACTGGACTGTTTTGGATTGCTAGCTGGGGGGGGGGCACAGATCTGCCCTCACAGAGGAGGGAGAGCTTCTACCTGAATAAAATTTGGTCCTAAAGCTGCCACTGGACTGCTTTGGATTGCTATCTATGGGGAGGGGACACACAGATCTGTGCAGGCAGGCAGGCAAGCAGGAAGGAAGGAAGGAGGGGAAAAGAAAAGGAAAGAAGGAGGGAA